TAAATTTGGTTATAAATCCAAATATACAGCATTAAAGCCCATTATTTTGTCATCGTAACAGTTCACTCATATGAAAGCAGTTTAACGGAAATTTAGTTCTTTTTTTTTTAAATTATAGTTTTTATTGTCACACATTTAAAAAAAATGCTAAGTACAAAACAGAGAAGTTAGATTAACCAAAAAAGGTAACATGAAAAAGTATCAACTTTAACCCCATAATCATCACCAGAGCACATCGGTAAAAACTAAACAGAATTTTGGTATAGAGCCTGAAATACGGAAATTTTTCCATATTCTGGCAGTTTTTACCATATTGTTTTCTCTGTATGCAAATGCATTTCATCTAAACACGTGAACCGTCAATTAAATATTTATTTTAAACTTAAAAAAAATCAATAGGTAGCTTATAGTTTTTTAGAATATATCTGCGTGAAAGTTAAATATGAATGCCATAATTATTCTAAACAGTAATGATTAATGTAGAAAAAAACAATTAATATTACTGCTCTAGTTTCTAGCTTTATTTTTACTTTCATTGCTTTCTTTACAGCCACAAACCGGTTTTCTTTAACAGGAAAGTAAAGCACATTTAAACTCCCATAAAATTTTGTATAGACTTTCAACTCGTCAATGGTCAGACACCTTGTCATTATTATTATTATTATTATTACAATCATTATTCCTTCTATATATTTATCCAAAGTATTAAATTAATTTTATAAATTAAAGTTCAAGATGAATACCTAGTTTTGCATCTATGAGTACCTAGTTATGTGCCTATGAATATCTAATAAAGTACTTTATGTATGCAATATCTAGAAAAGAAGCGATATTAACTTTTAATTCAAAGTTACAAAATATAAAATATTTCACTTATTAAAATTGTGTACATAAAAATCAAGAATTACAGATCTATTACTCGAAATTTTCTAGTGACATTCGAATTTTATTATATTTTATTGTATTGTATTCTATGTATTGTATTGTATATTACTGAATTGTAATAAGTAAGTTCGATAAAGCAGTCGAATACCTTTAATATATCATTCAATGCATTTTAATTTAAATAAGTGAGTTTTCAATCTCAAGAATAGAAAAATAGCAGACTGCAACGATATTGATTAAAAACCTCTCCTATCGCTTACTTCAAATAAGTAATAGCAATAACCAGAAACCCAATTTGATACTAGCAACTTAAATGATATTCTGAGTATTTTTATTTCTTAAAATCAACAAAATAAATAAATAATCATTATTGAATGGCTTTCCGTAAACGTTATGCTCATTGCTCTCTGATTCCTTTCAAAAAATAACCCCTGCCGAAACAGTGTTCGTTACAAAATCAATGGTTAAAACAAATAATATTTCCCTGGTTTCGGGAATAAATCACCTTTGGAATCAAAAGCTACATCGTAAAACAGGATTATTACCACAACGCCATGAATTCCGTACTTAAATCAGAAAATTAGTATATAGTTGTAAAATTATCCTTGGCAATTTAGCAAATGGCTCCATTTTTCATTTTCTTTATGTAAATCCATAAGGCATTTTTAACATTATGACTCATCTAATAGCATACTATAATCCTACCATTTTTCAGATCGTAATGAATTGCAATTTAAAGTTCCATTCTTGACAGATAAATTCAACTCTTGGCATAAAACAAATCTCACATCATGTATGAATAATGTTATGCATTAGTCACGTGAAGAGCCGAAAAATGATAAGGAATCATTCCTTATTACCTTTTTCCATCATCAACGGAGAGAAAAAAGAATCTTTTGTTCTTTTACCGTTATCGTAATAGATTTAAATTACTCTTTACGCAAGATTCAGATTAGTTTCCGTTTCTGTATTTAGTTTCTTTTGCAGATTTTTTTAGAAATGAAAAATTGTTCATCTAGAAAGTAAGACTTAACAGTAAGAATTAACTGTTAATTAATTCTTAAATTTCTGAATAGTGAAAAAAAAAACTATTAGGTTTTTTAAAAAATGGTATCAATTAATAATGAGCGTATTGCAAAGCAATGAAGCAATGTACAGTTAACGGTTTTTGATGGAAGCATTTATTTTTCTTTCCTGATAAGTTTTAAAAAAATGTAGCAATAATAACTCGATTTAAAAAACGACCGTTTGTATTAATCAGTTTATAACTTTTTTCTGTAATTTATTCTTATCATTAAAGCATTATGTCATAAATATTTGACTGCAATGTGATAATAATAAGCCAATTTATTGATTTAGAGGTTAGCACTATTTTAATTTGTCGATTTATACCATTTTTCACGCAAACACTTATTTTTTTTTGCTTTATTTTTTGCGGTATTGATCCAAATATGATTAGCCAAATATCAAAATTATTTGCTAATTATTTGCAAAATTATTCCCCTATTGCAAAGCTTAAAAGTTTTTTATGATTCATTTTTCGCCGTAGAATTATTTAACGGAGTTTAAGACGCATTTTACGATAGTTTGCTTCAAGCTTATATTATTTGGTCCTAATTCTAATTGATTATGCAGCACATCTGCAGAAAACTGCTTTAATCAAACAATAATTCCGACTTGTTTAGAAAAATTCATTTCGACGTAATTTTGAGGATAGAGTTAAGTATATTTATATAGTTTCTTTCGAGTGGAAAAAACCATTCGCCAAAGCACAACTTCAAAATACCCAAATAATGACACAGTCATAGTCCATATCAAAGTCCAAGATCACATGGGATTATCCCATCAATTGTAAGTTCCCTATCTATCAGAGTTGTTCAATCTTAGGAAAAATGTTCTGCGTAAAAAATAAAGGATAACCTTAAAAATATCTCAGTGTGAGGTATACCGGAGAAGTGTAGAACAAGCAATGGTCTATTCATCCCTCTCGGATTATTATCCCCGTTTATTCCATTATTAATTGTAATATCCGGAGATTATTAATAATAATCGTATTAACAATGTGCATTAAACAAATTTATTGATATTCTCTACCCTGAAGTCTTTACCTTTGAAGTTAAAAGGCATTGCTGACATTTTATTACTGATATTGAGATGTTTATTCAGAGTAATCCTTTTCTTAGGTATGGAGCGTTGAATTGAATGATGGGCGTCTTGTAAAGAAATTGATCAACATGATTATTTACTATCTGTCGCAATCATTCATTCTTAACATTTAGCATCTTATACACTTTAAAATATTTCTGATCAAATTGCGATATATATTACCGTTACATTGGGGGCAGCATTTTACCGTAAAATCTATTTTTAACATAAAATATCTAACCATAATTTTTACAGTAATATTTATGTAATTAGAATGATTGATTGATTTTATGGTAATTATTATTATAAAAAATACGCTATATCAGATTTTTTGACCCGTAAGATGTATCGGTAATAATAAATGATTCAAAGTTTTTACCGTAATTTGATCCGGAATTTTTTACAGTGCAGTAAACGAAAGTGATAATTATTCCTATTTTTTTACAGATGTTGCTTCCACATAAAAATAATGCTTATCTTGAAATATTAAATTAAATCAAAAATTAAATCGAAGCAGTATTTTACCGTAAAATTCACTTTTGATTTTAAATATCCAATTATAATTTTTACAGTTATATTTATTTAATTAGAATGATTCACTGATTTTACGATAATTATAAGTGTAAAAAATGCGGTATATCAAATTCTTTGTCCCGTAATACGTTTCTGTAAAAATGCATTTTACGATAAAAAGTTCTGATTAAAATTGAAAAATTTACCGTAATTTGATAAGGATTTTTTTAAAGTGCAGTAAAAGAAGGTGATATTTTTTCTTATTTGCTTACCGATGTTACTTCCATATGAAGATAATGCCTATCTTGAAATATTAAATCTAATCAGAAAGAAACTTGCTTTAATTAAAAACATAATATATTTTTCTAGTTACTTTATTCAATTCTAATCTGTGTCACTTGCAAGTAATTAATCTAATTAAAAGCTTAAATGAAAACAAAGTCTAATAGAAAGAAAATGATGCCCAACAAAGTATTATTAATGTTAAAAAAATATTTACGAACAGATAAATTTGTTAAATTTATTTTTATTAACATACAATTTTTTTAAATCAAATATTTCTTTTAGTTTAGAAATAAGTGAACATGCGTGCTTAGAGTTTATTTATTCTTTATAAATAAAATACATTTAACGCCTATCTCTTTTTTCACTATTCCTTCTTATAATAAATCTCTTACAGTGTGAAAGGTATTGTCAAGGGAGTCATTACCTAACAGGAAAGATACACATAAAATATAAACAAAAACAGCAAATTTAGGATGCATTTTATGAGGAAAGATATTGCTTTAAATTAATTTTAACGCTATTGTTTTATGCGTGTGATAAGTTTGGTACATGCTATAACTTAGTTTGTAATTTTATTTTCATTATTCTAGCAGTCAATTTTAAAATATGAAGAAGCATTATTTATTCTTCAACTGTTCACGTTTATCAGTGACCCAAGAGAAAATCTATTATTTTCTATAAATAATATAAATAAGCAATAAAAGCCTAGTTCAAAAATAAAAAATAATCTTTACTTGTTTTTATATGATAAAAAATTTGATTTAAATGTATGACAAATTTCTTTTTTCCCTTAGTTTACTAATAATATTTAATAATAAAAAAATCAATGTGCATTTGCAAATGAAATGTAGAAAATGGTTTTCAATTTTAAGAGAAACAAAAAATTAGAAAAATAAAAAAAATTACTCTTATTTTTAAATTAAATAAAATTAAAACGATGGTCATTTTCATAGAAAACAAGTTGAAAACGATTCTCATTTTTGAAAAAAAAAGGAAAATGTATATTTATTTTAAAAGAAATATAATAAAACCAAACACATTTTCATAGGAAATAAAATGATACTCATTTTTATACAGAATAAAACAGTATTCACTTTGATAAAAAATCAAACTGTTTTCTCTCAGAGAAATCAAAAAGAGTAATGCGGATTCCTTTAAAAAAATAAATTAAGAACAATATTATTATTCTTACAGATCCAACGGGAAGCATCCCACCTAGAATAACCAGTGGAAGAACATCAGCTTTAGTACAAGAAGGGGGAAACGCTGAAATACCATGTACAGCGCAAGGATACCCAGTACCGCAATATACGTGGTACAGACGAGAAAATAATAGACTTATTCCAATGCTTTTGGGAGATAGAATGCTACAGGTGAATGGTAGTCTATTTATTGAACGAGCCCGTGTACAAGATACAGGAAAATATATTTGCATTGTCAATAACAGTATTGGTGAAGTACGTGTTGAAACAGAATTGACTGTTTATGGTAAGTAGGTAACATAATATCTCAGGATATCTCATTCTAATATTAAAATTAAAATTTTACTGAATCGTTAAAAATATAACTGTTATTTAAATAACCTTTTTTTTTAAATTATGCCAGTCTCGGAGTTTTCCTCCCAAAACATTTTCGAACGTCTGTGACAACGTGAAACAGGTTTTTGCCTTATAATGCGGTATTTGTTGTGATTATAACGTTCTTCTGTGATACTTTTTAGATTACATTTATATTGTAAAACCTATAGAAATGGTGGTTAATGAGAAATTTATTAAAATAAAAATTATTTTAATCATATTAAATAACGCTGTTGAAAAAAATTTTTTTGCATCCATGTAATCTCTTAATCTTGTCTAATTCGGGTGAGGGGGATTACAAATGTGTTATTAAATATGTTCCTAAAGATAATTTCTTAAATGACATTTTTAGTCTATTTTTTACCAAAATGTGCAAGTTTAAAAACGTTATAAATAACAGGGGGTCGCCTAAATATTGTGACGAAATTCTACGGGAATTAAGGTACATAGTCTGGATTTAAAATTTATTAAAACCCAACCCCGGAAATGCTTGGCTAGGAGCACTTTCTTATTATGACCTGTTCAAAGGTAGACAAGGAAACAGTTGACAATAGCTAACTCCCCTAGTGACAAATGACGTAATTATCGGCCTAGAGTTTCTTTTTAATTTTAATCCTAATAATATGTCCTAACTTCTAGAAGTTTTTCGAAACATTTATGGAACACCTAGCTAAAACGTTTTTTAACTTGTGCTGTTGACAAAAAAGGAGGACTAAAAATGTAATTTTAAAAAGGTAGCTTAAAGAGGGAAACCGATTGCAGATTTGAAATCAGCCAAGTGAAAATATCCAAGATCCGTTAAAATATTTCATGAAACAGAAAACAAAAAAGAAAGGCTCTCCAGTGTAATCAGTAATTAACAACCGTTTTAGATTCATAAAGATTGATAAAAATTTAATACACGTGGATAAATATTTTTCCATGCATAAAATCTTTTTAGTTTCAAAATAGTTCCAACAATATTTAATATACATAAGTGTCAAGGCGGGCATTTTTCAGCAGATGTTTTTATTCAAAACAAAATTCATTTCTGGAATATTTTAATTACTAGTTTTAGGCAGGTTTTAAAGAAAATAGGTATGGTGGAATATAGATTTTGCAGCATTTCGTGTTTTTCAGTTTTTGCTCTCAGGTTGTTAAAAAGTAACGAATTTTCAAATTACGCACAAAATAAAATCGGATTTGTCTACGGTTGCATCAGAAAAGTATAACTCACGAGAATTTTTACCTAAAAAAACTCTGAAAATATAAAATTTGTTATCCTGGAGCTAAAGTGCATTTATTTTTAATATCGAAAAAATAATACTAAATATGGTTATATTACTTTTAAGGAACATGAGAGTCATAACCTAACATTAGTTTACGAGTTCAATATTCTATTTAAAAATCGATTACAATACTTTTACTAAATTCTTCATTACAAATATATCAGTTACATCAATTTATAATAACTCGTAATCTAATTCCGCATTTCTTTATTCATTACCATCATTTCCAATTACTCCAAAGAACCAATTGCCTGAGGCATATCAAATTAATTATTTTATTCCAATATTTGAAATTATGACGCAGACTTCTCTTTATTTAATCCATGTTTTGATATACATAAATTAATTTTGCTGATTGAATGCCTCGACACAAATTTATTATTTGCTCTTATATAAAATGAAAGTAAAGCAACTCTTCGAATTATACAAAAGAATAAAAGTATTTATTTCCCCTTAAATTTGTTTTCAAAACTTAGAGCATATTTTTTTTTTCTGAATCATTTACTCCTAGACATTATTACGAATACTCCAACTACTACGGAATCTTCGAAAATTCAGAAAATATTTTCCCAGTGATTGCAAATTAAAAGTATTTATATTTTAATGAATTTAAATTTAAAACAATTTTGCCCACCCCTAAATACAAGTAATTTAATATGTTATTCATTTTTTTACACTGAGCAAACAATCTGTATGTCAGTTCAGTTTTGCTGTTATTATACCTTTGCAGTCTTGTTATCTTGAATCCAACAAGAGCCATGCATTAGGTTGTTTTTATTTTTGCTTGATATCTTTTGAGCGAAAAGTGATATCGTGAATATCTCACTCAATTAGTAAACCTGACTATAAGCATTTGGTAAACTCTGATCTGTCAACTATTGTTTGAATCACTACTTCAGCAGATCAGTCTGAGAATAGAAAGCAGTATACAAATGAGGTAATTGTGACTGACACTCGGACATGCATTACTTTTAGGAAAAACGTGCACATTAGTCAATACATAATATATATTGCATATTGTATTGACTATATATATGTATTGACTAATTATATATAACAGCAAGTGTTCTGTGATTGGCTTTCTTTTATTATATATATATATATATATATATA